AGCTGGCGTATGGGGCCATTAAGGTGACGAGCAGGCGGGAGCTTGATAGGATGGTCCGGGAGATTAGCGCGGAGCGGAGGCTCCCGAGGAGGTCGGATGAGATGATCAACGTTTCCGGGCACAGCTGGAAGAGGATCATCAGGAGTGGCGATTATCCCAAGTACAGTAAGGCGTACTCGAGAGGGTTCGAGTGCATGGTGGCCGGCTGTCTGCAGAGGAATCCGAGCAAGAGGCCCAGCGTAATTGAGCTTCTACGGTGTGGGGTGTTTGATATTTTAGACAAGAGCAGCGCGAATAGGCATCAAGCATTCGACTTGTTGAGGAACTAATAACTACTTAATACGTGCGCGTGATTAATTTATTGTTTTCGCCTGGTTGGGTGCAATAAAAAACTCACTTTGTGTGTGTCTCTTGGCTGGTCTGGCGTTCTATCAATACTGATTTGAAATATGAATGCATCTGATTATAAATCAATGTCTTCTTTTAAATGGGTTTGCCTCATTCAGGGGTACATAGATAGGCAAACTTCCTACCAAATCCTGTCTGTAAATCATCTCATCAGGTTCAAATTCTCTGGTCAGAAAATGCAAAATCTACTCAAATGGTCATGGATTTTGAAGTAGTTCAACGTTTGTCCCTTATCATCATCCAGAGAAAAATTTAGTGGGAGAGGCGGTAAACAATAATAATTTTGCAAAAACATCATCCATGTAATATAATAATAGAAAAAAGTATGTATTTCTAAACTTTGCTACCAGTTAGAGTTGTTTAATTTTCTCAAGTTATAAAACATATTAATAATTGACTCGAACTTGTACAAAATAAAAATACAGAAAAAATAAAATGAAAATCTCATGTTCAAATTTTCTATAAGCATATATCATATTTTTCCACCACATTAACTTACATATCTTAAGAGCTCGGTTAAATTTACTCCTCGTGGCGTATTAAGTTATATACAAGCATATATATAAAACTTACAAGATCTAATTATTATTTGTAATATTTAGTTCATGGACTAGTACAAATGAAATATAGATTCTTCTACTAATACTCTTCTTTGAATTCCCAATTTTTATGTAAGACAATTGATTATCAAAGTCTCAATTTATTTATTTAAAAATATGATGAATATAAAAATATCATTATACATATACTTAATAGGAAAAAACAAAGATGTTGCGGGGGGACAATGGCCTCCCCCAACACACATGGAAATCCGCCACTGCTTATCATGGATTGAATAACATTGGTAACAACCATTCTGATGAGGGGAGAGATGGCAAGGTGGATCTCAAGCGGCAATGGCGGCGACCTGCTTGTGAGAGATGGCCGATAACAATTTTAGGGATTGGGTTCTTTTAAATTTTGATATGTTTCACAGACTTAATGCAATTTCTTAAAGTTCAATATATTTCAACTTAGTACGCGAGGCAAATCGGTAATTTAACAAAAGTTCTAGAGTTGCAATTTTAGAAAATTCAATATATTATAATTTAGTTCATGGGTACAATTTTTAATTTAACGAAAATTTAACAAATGTATAATAATGTTCAGTACAATTTCACAATATAATATGTGTATATCCACATTAAAAGTTCAAAAAACTACGGAATGCAGAATATTGTTAATACCGAAATGTCAAAACCAAAATAATCGAGGCGGACTTTTGGAAAAAACTGAATGACCGAATTTTTTTCCCATACCAAACTAAAACCAAACCGAAAATAATTTGTTTATTTGGTCGGTTAACCAAAATAATCAAAATAAACTATTATTTATATTATAAAAAATATTTATTATTTTAATATTTTTATTTAATATTTCTATTATATTTTGGTTGGAAAGAAATAATACATATTGTTGATGAGTGTTTTCGATCGACGGTTATTTAGAAAATTAAAAGTGGTTTGAATTTGATTTTTGGATGCTTAGTTAAGGTTGATCTATACATTTGTGATGGGAAGAATCGGACAGAAAGAAATGGAAACTAATGCAAGAATTTGATAGTGTGATAGCTGCCTAGGTCGGCCAATAACATTATTGTTGGGACTAATGTGTCCCTTGGTATTTATGACGAGAGTCTATATCTCGTGGGTTGTATATATTTTCATCCCTTTTTTTGACCTATTAGAAAGATATTTATAGTAACTGTAGCCCGCCAACTGTTCATCGGGTCATACATCAGGCCTGTAACTGATTGGATAGGCGTATTTAATGCGTCGTGCTACCCTGTGGGCGTAAGACTAGTAGGCCAGCGGATTTGATTAGCGATGTACTTTTTAATTGTTACGCAGCACGTGGCCTTTATTTTATTGCCTTGTGCTCGGTTT